CATAAACCCTTGTTAAGTTGCTATCCACTCTTTACAACCATCCCGCAACACTTAGGCAACTTACACCATCATGTTAGGTTGCTGTCCCTAGTTTTCCTGCAGCGTATTGAAGCCTTAGAAGCCTCCTAACATAGCGTGTAGGTGCTGTCCGCCACCCTAGCAACCTTCCTAAGTGACAAGGATACCTAACCCACTAGTGTAGCTTGCTGTCCGAACTTTTTCTGCACCTTGTAGTGAGTCTAAGTGAGCCTAACTTAGTGTCTATATGACATCCCTTACACCCGATCAGCCTTGAGTGTCACTTGACGCTTCCCAATGGACCCGATAAGACTCCAAAAGAGTTTAGATAACATCGTTAACCTAGTGGGCAATATGACTAGAATTATGATGTAGAAACCTGTTGACTATCCCCGCTCGAATTATGTATCCCACTCTGCCTTTCAACCTAGACCAGAGTTTAAGCCACAACGACTTCACTTTGAGCCACCTTACCGTCTACCCACCTTTGATGGTTCCTCGGACCCTTACTACCTTAGGGATTGGGTTAGACAACTAGAGGATTATTTTGAATCTTGTCATATCCCTGAGTCCCACCAGATTAGGATCGCTAAGTCTCACCTTAAAGGTTGAGCTCTTTAATTTTGGATGAAATTGGAAGATCATAGAGAGTTTTGCGGTGAGTACCTTACTTGGAGAGACATGAGACGAGAACTTAAGTTGAAATACCGATCCTCTACTAGTGACCACCATCTAGAGCCTCACCAGACCTCGTTTGTTGGGACAACCCGTGGACCTTACTATGGTCGGGACCACCCACCCATTAGTAACATCCGGGTTGCTGCCCCACCCTTTAGGTCCTCACGTAACCTAGATGGCCGACCCTCTACTGGGTATTCTGTTGGACCAATCTCTTATGACTCCCCACTTGGACCTACTACTAGCCATCCCAGTCAACCTTTAGCCTCTCCAGTCCTTGACCCTGCAAGTGTACTTTTGAGAGAGAAGTGCATTAACAAGAAAACGCCCTCTGAACCTAAAACTGAGTGCATCCATTTCGTGGATGCTAATGATATTAAGGATAACGAAGACGTCTTTGAGGATGGAACAAGAGTAATTGAATCAGACCCCCTGAATGACTTAAACCCTGAACTAGGAAAGTTAGAACCTTCGAATGACGACACCTTAGCCCACCCCGATCCTAGTCTCCTTGAGGATAAGTCTTTGGACAAAGTATGCTTGGATGATAGTAGTGTGATCTCGGAAGAAACCAACCGAACTTCGAACACTTTGGATTTAATTTTGGATAATTCTGATTTAATTTTGAATAATTCTTATTTAATTTTGGATAATTCTGATTTAATTTTGGATAATTCGGATGACGACTTAGATAATCTCGAGTTGGAAGTAAGTCAATTGAATTTATCACCGGATTCAAGTGAAACGGAACCCATGGACCTTAGGGTCGCAACCAAACCCGAGTCTCTTTCGGAAGACTGTACTTTGAGTCTGAAAGTTTTTGAGCCTAATTTGTACAATAAGTCATCTTTTGATTTGTTGGAGCCTATTTTAGGCGTTGCCCATTTGGATTTACTTTTGAAAGAGTTTGTCCTTCCTGATTGGGCTTACCACATCACTCCGCCTACCGACTGGGATGAGAATATTAACCCAAACTTTCATGTTGTGCCCACATCTACTCTGGACACGATACCCCGACTTTTGAGTCCCATACCTGCTGGTGATTCTTTGGGCTATGTTATTATGGTTGAGAGTGATGACCAATCGTCCTATCATACTCCTGAATCTTACATTTTGCCCGCTACATCCTTGTCTTTCCCTGTTAAGGACCTTCCCTCTCCTAGTTGGATATATTTGATAGATTACACTGCTACCCCTAGGAGACTAACCTCGACCCTAGCTGAAACTTTATATGGAAGTGCCTTAGTAGCTAAGGATGTCTTTATTGCTCCCCCTAAACCAATTCCCTTAAATTTGGAAACTTTAAGTCCCCTCATTTTATATTTAACCCATCGTTATGCTTATCTATGTGTGCTTGTGAGTCTGTGTGTTTGCATGTTCATTTCTTGTCGAGTTTGTCTTTGTTTAAAGCTTTGGTGTAAACCCCAAGTCTTTTCAGCCATCATGCACATCAGGTTTGTCGCATCGGCATTTGCATCACATTTACATGAATTGCACGAAGAAATTAATGAAAGAATTAAATAGAGCAATGCTAGCTATAAACTTAATGCAGACCTCAAGAAAAGATTTAAAGAATTTGAAGTGAGAGATTATGTGATGGTTCGGATTCGTCCGGAGCGGTTCCCACAAGGAACCGTTAAGAAATTACACGCGAGAAGCACGGGGCCTTTCAGAATAATCTCCAAAATTAACAGTAATGCGTATGTGCTAGACCTTCCCGAAGGTTTTCACTTTAGCCCCACTTTTAACGTTGAAGACCTTGTAACCTATGAGGGACCAGAGTTTAACCCCACCAATCCCTTACTTGATGAGCCTTGTGAGTCCCCACCTGGTGAGATCCCCAGCCTACCTCCACTCCCAAAAATCCCCATATTACCTACCGCGGAGAGGATTGAAGCAATACTTAGCGATGGCATAATTTCCACTAAGAACGGTGGTCGCCGAAGGTATCTGGTTCAATGGGCAGGAAAATCGGAGACAGAGACCGTGTGGATTGGCCGAGATGAGCTACAGAGATTGGACCCTGACTTACTGGAGTGGTACGAGACTTCTAGAGACACTTACTCGACGGGGTCGAGTTTTCTCCCACCTGGGGAGAATGATGAGGACATCAGATTTTAACACGTGTACCATCGCCGGAGACGCAGATCGACGGCGACGATTCAGAGCCTCTACGTCTGATTTATTTGCATTTTATTTTATGATTGTATTTTCTGTTTTCCTAGTTCGCCCCTATGGGCATTGAGTCGCTTATGTAGCCTGGAAGGGCATTTATGTCTTTTTTTTTCTCTCTTTCATTTTGGCCTATTTATATGAGGCCTCATGCATTGTATTGGCTTAATGTTGAATGAACAAAGTTTCTGAGATTTTCTTTTGTCTTCTTGCTTGAGAGCTTGAGAGAAAGAGAGGAGACCTAGGAGAGGCTCCACCCGCAATACCCAACAACCCACCGTGGTGAGCTCTTGGTTTTATCCAAAATTTCTACTGTTTTCTCTCATTTCCTCTCAAACCCGAGCCACCCAAACCTCCTCTCCAACTTCCCGTGCCTCTGCAGCCGCTCCGCCCAAACCCTCCAGGAAAACCCGCCGGCCCTCCCCTGCATGGCGGATCCCGCCGTTGACTACGGAATCGAACTCGACACCTACGGCCACATTCACGTCCTTAGATCGCCTTTCTTTGGCGTGGTTTTGGCTTCGACAATACCGTCGAAGATTACTTGGATCGAATCTTACCGACACTAGTGGACGCCTTCGACGACCAATTCTCCGACTACACGTGGATCATCGAAAGTCATCCGCCCGCTTCTCCAACTCCCACTTCCTCACCGGCGACGAGTTCTCTCGGCATCACCCGTGTTTTAGTGGTATCGCTAAGTTTTCTCGCAACCCTCTTCCGCTAACCTCCACTTCAAAGAGAGATTGCCGGACCTCAAGGTGAATGGTCTAAATTTTAAACGTGTGGCTTTAGTGAAAGCTATTTGCATTATTTAGTTAAATTTTAAACGTGTGGCTTTAGTGAAAGCTATTTGCATTATTTAGTTATCTTTTGGTTATCTTTTGCGAGACTCTTGTAACTCTTAAGTGTAGTCAATGCCTACCGCTTAATCTATCACGAATTTTCTTGAATCCTAATTGAGTAAGCTAAATTTTATTGTTAATGTTGCAAAGTTAAAGTTTTCACTAATCTCTAAAGTGCAATGCATGTTTCCCCATGTGTGTTTCACATCAGGAGGTTTATTTATAGATTTGTGGAGTGATATACTCCGTAAATATGGAGAAGATCCAGGGTCAATTCGGAGTGTTCCATCGGACGACCCATATTAATTCCCTCAATTATGAAGTATTCGTTCAACATTTGAGTGCCTTAGTGATGTTAGAATTAAGCGATTTTGGACTTGTTGGATTCCTCTTGTCGAGCCGCTTGATTTAAGTATAAGCATGTCATATTTGATTATCATTTGATCATTCATTTAATGCTTTTAAGCTTCAAGATATACTTTGGTCCCTTGATATGAGCCCATTTGGGTTGGGATTAGACTGCTTTTTATGGCGTTGGGTTCCCTCGTCCAATTGTTCAATTTGACGATAAGTTTGCTGTAACCAGAGTTCAGATGACCCCGAATTAATTTTGGAAGTTTCCAACTTTAATATATCTTGAGATTTGTGCTTGATCAAGGCGATTTTTGGTGACGTATCGGGTATCAAGAAGTAAGTGTTATGTTTTGCATTTGGGAATGGTAAACAATAAATTTAAATGTATGTGACTCAAACCTTTGATCTAAGAGAAACAACATTCTCTATAGTGAGGTGATTTCAAATTCATTTCCATCCTTTTGGTCATGATCTAATGCATTTTTTTTTTAAATTGTCCAACTTCCTATTAAGTTGCTATAATAAGTCTATTTACTATAAGTATATTTTATAAAGTTTTTTGGGCAGGCCAGCAATGATTAGGTTGCCTCCATTATGACGTGGAGGTTTTGGGTTCTCAGTCACGGAAATAAACTCTTTGCAATATGGCTGTGTACAAAACCCCTTCTCTAGACCCAACTTTGGTAGAAATTTCATGCTGTCGGAGAATTCCTTTACTAATGCTAGGATTTGGTTGCTCTATGTATCTTTAGAAATTTCCAATGAAAGGCTACCTTTGATGTACTTTGCAGATTCTCATATTCGTTCTATTTACTGTCTTTCATATTTTTTAACAAAAAAACTCTTTGAGCTGAATCAAACTCATAAAATAGTTTAACTTTTCTTGAATGTTTAGCATTTATTAATAATTGTTATTCTGGCGTTCGGTTCAAGGTTCTTTGGTGGTTAGAAACATAAGTAAGATGCCCGAAAGCAACTTTGGAAGAGAAGGTTTTTCACACATTACAATTGCCGGAGCTGTCCTACATGGAATGAAAGAGGTATGGTGGTCATCCGTATCAGTCGATTTCTGTTTTTCTATAACTGAAGAATCATATACTTAAATGTCCTGTTTGCTTAAAGTAATTATCTTAGTTTAGCCAATTCTAAACTCTTCAAGTAAATAGGTTTTAGTGTTGATGCTTCTGAGGTGTGTTTATTATTTAAAAAAAAGTGCTGTGTTATTCTTTATCCAGCACAATTTCTCGCATTGTAAATGTCAAATTATGCTAAATCTCTCAGCAAGCCTTACTCTGGCATGGTGCGATCTCTAAAATTGGAACCCAGCTAGCTAATGAAGAGTTTATTTAGACTTCATTTGGGACAACTCTTTTATTGTTTTCTAAAACAGTTTTTTAATTTTGAATTAGAATTTTTTTATTACAAAGCAGGAAGACAGTTGTCCCAAACAAAACCTTAATCAGATCAAGGTTGGGCATAGATTTATTTCCCGATATAGTGTGGGATAGGTTCTTATCTGCAAAATGCCGACAACATTGAAATGTTTTTATTTAAATTTATTTTATCTGCCTATTTCTTCTTTTTGATGTGAACATGCATGAAGCAACAACCATAAAATATCTGGCTTTTGCAAATAATAGAGTTTGTTGGTTGCCTGAACATTTGATCAAAGAAGAAAAGCCCAAAGAGAGGATAGAGAAGTGCTATCTTCCCTGAACATACACTCCATTTTCCATTGTTATTTAATAACCATTACCACCATCATCTTGTCAGCCGAATACCCTTATGCAGCATCAGTTCAGCGTTATCCTAGCAAGATAGCTAGCCTTTGGCAAAGGAGAAATAGGTAATCCTTCATTATTTCGTTAATTGCCAATACATAACCGGATATAGGATCAGATAGGAAGGTTGGAATAGCAATATTTCCCAAACTTAAATATTTAGATTCTCATATTATAGCTCAACATGATAAGGCTTGTTCAGTTTGTAGGTCTTATTGGGTTGGGTTGTAACAATGTGTTTCACTATCACTCTGAATAATAGGCTTGAAATATCTAAAATATGTACTCTTATTAATGACATGATCGTCCAAAGTCACAATCTCCCCACTAGATCTATTATTACTAAAATTACACTCCATGTATTCAAGACGGAGAAGAAGCTAGTTGTTCAATTGGCTATTGTGGCGAGCTAACCATGCGGCTACAAAGCCTGGAAGAGACATTGGCCTAGAATCCATTGTTTTGTTAACATTAGTTTTTTTTCCTCATCTTCAGTTTTTTTTTTTGTTTTGTTTAGTACTGGTATTTGACGGCTGCATTTCACTTATTGGCCAACTTAATACTCTCTCTGCATGAAAACCTTTAAATTTGAACTTGAAACAATTATTGTTGTATTCTGAATAGATTTTTTTCTAGGGTTTATTTTAATTTCCATCTTAGGTTATCAATAACAAATGCTGGGAGTAATTTGTGAATGATGTGCATGATAATACGATCTTTTCTAATCTGACCTCTATATAAAATAGAGTCAATGCAATGCACTTCATGTTCAAAAAACGTTTTCTTTAAAACAAAGAATGGTTGTTTACAAGGTAGAAAGGAGGAATGTTTCTCCATTAACAAAATAAATCTTGATGGTCTCTATAAGAAAAATGTTAGTTTTCAAGACAACAGTTAATTGTTATTGCTATCAATATAAGGTTCTGACTTTTTTACGTTGGGTCCAAATTGCTTTTGTTTCACAATGATATATTGGGAAATAGAGAGGACTCCATCCATTATCTTGATATTCTATGTAGTAAAATGAAAACGATATATATTTTCCTCCTAGGGTTTCTTGTAGAGAGGGTCAGGTATCATCACGTCTTTAGTTGTAGAGAGGCAGAAAAGCAGGGCCCAATTATCAACAGAAAATAACGAAAGTTCCCATGGAATGAAGCTGTTCATGATCTCTGATAACTTTTTGTTTTTACATTGGATGAGAAGTTTTTGGGTCCTATGATGCGTGAAATGCTTCTTCAAATAGTTATAAGTATGTAGTTGAGTTTGTTATTTGAATCAGTTGCTTGACCTGGGTCCTGGATCATGGTTGAATATACATGTACATGTTTATTTTCAGCAAGGCTATGAATTTGTGATGTGAAAGGCTTCTCAATTAGTGATAAATATGCTGCATGTTTTATTTTTTTTCAAGGCTTGTTTACTTATTACATAACCTTCCATTTGAAATTTAATGATCTTTGTAACATGTATTTTAATTTTCCCTCATGCAATATGTAATAAATTATTGGTCTGAACACTCTGCAGGTACACGTAGAATAACGTTCTGGAACTTAATATGTTAATATGCTCTTGTAGGTTGAACTTTGGCTTCAAACATTTACTCCAGGATCTCGAACACCAATCCATAGGCACTCATGTGAAGAAGTATTTGTCGTTTTAAAAGGTAGAGGTACTCTTATGCTTGCCTCAAGCTCTCATAAGTACCCGGGGACACCTCAAGAGTACCCTATCTATGCGAACAGCACATTTGCCATCCCTGTGAATGATCCCCATCAGGTAATGATCTGTGAATTTCAACTTTTATTTCCTGGGATCCATCAAATGTACTCCCACAAATTATATACATATCTTCTGGACGATCCATACCATAAAAATAGTTCACCAGGACATGATCGTCTGTTCCAGTACCATATCGGTTTCTCTGTCTGCTTTTGAGCATTACCTGATTATGATTACTAGGCCATCCTTTAAGTTAGGCTATGCAACAGTACTTAGGATATTCTTTCCCTTGCGTTCACTAAATTTATTTCTTTGGACATTTGTGAGCACAACCAAATTTTATATGGGCATTTCATGGACTAGTTATAGCAGTTATTATCATATTATTAGTAGCTGTTGTGTGGTATTTACTTGGAACCATCCCTATTGGATAATCTATGTTGTAAATTGGATCAGTGTCTTATTTCGAAGAAGTAGGTTACGGTAGCATTTAGCTACTGATTCTTTGTTGATTGGAGGAAAATATTCTTATAATTGATGCACAAATGAATAAATCGGTGGCAGAAATTTGTTACTATTTGACCAGAGAGAGAGAGAGCATTCGTGTCTGCATTTTATGAAACTGCATTTTATGAAAAATCAAGTCATAGTAGTATTTTTATTTATTTATTTATAGGGTATTTGGTTGATACATAGTAAGTGTTAAGCATTCAAAATATACGGATTTTAAGAATTTTTGTGTCTGGTTTGATGAAAAAGCTCACAACTTCAACTTGGTCATACTGTGCTTGCTTTTCTTGAGGGATTGTAGCTCCAGAAGCAGCAAGCCCTACTTCATAGTGTTTATGGTAGGCTCGTAATGGAGACTACTCATTGTTATGCCCCATCATGTAGACTACTTCGACTTCTATGATTTCATCATCTTCGTCCTCTTCTTCTTGTACTTGAATTTTTGAGTGGTACTTACACTGGATCTTCAGTCTGGTATGTTAAATGAAGATTTTCTTGATAAAAGTGAAATTCTAAGGGGTAGTCCTAGGGCTGGTTTGGCCTAAGCCTTTGCTGACCCCCTTTCATTGTCCCCGCAACCAATAAAATTCCTCCAATCATCCAAGGGTGCTACTCACATCCTTACTCACCCACCATAGAAATTAGAAGTCTTGAATCCACCCCTTTAAGCCTAGGTTAGATACAATGAGTAACAAAAGAAGAGTGTAGCTTATGTTTTGATGTCTAGGTTCTACTTCATGACATTATTGTCTTTTTGGTTATGTATGCCAAAAAAGCTAGTAGAATATATAGTTTAGGAATATGTTAAATAATATAATTCACTGTTGACCTTTATATGTATTCCTCGATTGACTCAAGCATGTGCAATGAGAATGGTGATTAACTATTGCTATGTTATGCAAAACGAGTCCAAAGCGCCTTGAATGCGATCAAAATCACTTAAATGTTGCCCATTTGTACAAGTAACTGCGTCGAGGCATTTAAAGTGTAAAAAATACCAATGAAAGAATTTTTCACAGTTGACTCAATCGAATGTAATGAAAATGTCAGTCTATGGCCACAATGTTATGTGAAGTTGTTGAACATTGTTCATTTTTGAAACAGACTGCATCAATACCTTTAAAACATTGAAATTACCCGAAAAGGAGACCCATATTGCCCGAGTTATTGCCTGAGTCTATGTGTGGAGTTTACTCATGCGCGAAGTGATGCCAACTGCAACACCAAGCCAAGCCAAACTTAACTCTGCCTGTCGCAGAACACACTACCTCTAGCCCCCTCCTTTAACCTAATATACCTTCAGATTGTCACCAACCTCTTGTGCGCGACCAACCCTCCAAACAATCAGTAGCTGCCCTAGTCGACTGTAGTCACTATAAGTCCTATCGACCACTGTAGCTCCAGCTTTGTAGACCCAGCCTACCGTCGGCCCTATAGCTCCCCCTCACCATCTTCCTCCTCTAGTTAGGCCTGACCAAACTCGACACCTTGCAGTCGACGACTCTTCCTAGCCAACCCTCTTGCTTCCTCCGTCAGCGAGGCACATGCTCTAGCCATCTCTGGCAAGCCCAACCAAGTCCAACACACCCAAACCACCAACTACCCATTACCCTTATTGTTTTCTCTCTCTACCATTCTCTTTACTTTTCCTCTTTATGTAGAGTAAAAAATTTTCCTCTCTTCCTCTGTTTTAACCCTCCTCGCTCTCTTTCTTTCTTAACATTCCAATTATATCTACCCTGTCATGTCTCCCAATTTTAGATAACAGTCCCTCTATAAATATTTATCTCTCTTCCCTCTCTTTGTCTCTCTTGAAAAAGAGAAAACATAGAACCAAATAAGGAAAAAGATAAGTAGGAAAAATAAATAGAAGCAGCAACAACAACAAAATGGGGGTAAAAATAGTAAAAAAGAGAAGAATTTAGTGTTTCAACCCCTATTGCCTCTCCATATCGTAGTTATTGCCTCGCACTAAGGTATAAATTTACAAACACTCAAAAATTCCAAAATCTAGAATGTGATGTATTTGGTATGCAAGTGAAACTCGTGTGCGCTTAGCTTATTGTAGTGGGGGAAACTCATATGTAATGATGTAACGGGTAAGCCTTGTGCATGTTTTTCTTAACACATCAAGGAAAATTTAAATACATGCGCGCTTCTTTCTTGATGCTATGTGAAAATATTATAAAATTTTGAGCAGGACTATGAAGACTCATGCACGCTCTTCTTGGAGAGCTGAGATAGAAAATGCTTAGCCGCGGTGTCCTACGACATTGACCATACATGCATTTTTTATGGTGTTGGGATGGCCTAGAACTCTCAAGGACGCTTAGCCATAGTGTCCTATTTTCTCTCAATGCCATCATATTTGTGATTTACACATGTAAGTGGATAGAAGATGTACTTTTAAGTTTTAACCTCTAAATAAAGCTTTGTGTGCATTTCAACGATAAACACTTGTAAAAATTAAAAAATTGTGCAATCATTTCTAGAAGCACTCGGTTTCCTCGAAAAGTGCACCGCTTTCTCAAGAAGCATATTGTTGCCTCAAGAAGCATGCTATTGTGTTGAGAGTTCACAACTGCCTCGAGAAGCATGCCTTTGAATCAAGAAGTACACGGTTGCCTCAAAAAAAGTGTGTAGCTACTCCTAGAACAAATGCAATAAATGAAGTACATTGAAAAGCATGTGAATGCTCTATAAATGCAATTAAAAATGCGTAAAGGCAACATAAATGTATTGAAAAGTATGAAAGTATATTGAAAAACATACAAGTTTACTATGCAAATGCATTGAAAAATGTGCATGGCATGCCCACCGAAAGGCATGATCATTATTGAATTTCTTCACGTATGCTTTTATAAATATGCTCTATGCTTGAATATAAAGTCTAAGAATATTATGTGAGGTTAAAAGCAACTTGAACGAAAATCCCCTCATGTCAAAGAATGTGCAACGATTTTACATCTCCTATAATCATTTTTAAAATCTACGAACTTTTTTTTTTAATTGAAATACTTGTATGTGCCTCGATCAAATACATCAAAGATCTAAATTTGAAGTTCGAGAATACCGTGCTAGTTAAAATAAAGAATAAATTTAGATTGTATTTATTCTTCGAAAAATGTGCAATTATGTTATGTCTACATAAAAAAATGCATGAGTATAATGTGCAATTGCATCTAAAAGCATGTAAATCACTGCATGAATACACAAAATATGCACGTTATATACTTTATGTTCCAGCCCTTAAAAGATTAAGTTTGTTTTCTTATGCTCTGGTAAGTACTCTAAACTTTCGAATTTGTCTGAGAACACTGAGCTAACAAACTAAAATGAAAATCTACAAGCAAGTTGGTAGAGTCGATAAGATCAATAAGAATTATATTATTTAAATAGCTCAATGATGATCATGATGATAGTGAATCTCAATTGGAGGGGACCTGATCAAAATACCCCCAAGTCTTAGAACAAATTATTGCGGGGTTCAAATTTTTATAAAAAAATAAAAAATTTAATAAGGAAAGATAATATTCAAGTTAAATTTACCATCCCTAAAATTTAAAGTGAAAATTCATCCATACTTCGCAATCGTTTATCAAGTGTGATAGATTGAAGGATAACCTCAGGTCATAAAGAGTCAATATCTTATCGAGTGTATCATTACAATTCATTCTTAAACGATCTCTTGTTAGTAAGGTTGTGGTACGTCCTCTAACTGAATTGTTTAGCTAAAACAAAATAACAATTAAATTACGGTTATAACTAGGCCCGGTGAGTTCTCTAATGGATAAAAAATCATCGATTAATGAATCATAGGGTGTACTTAATAGAATATTAAACTCTTTGTTAGCTAAGGTCAACTTGATTTGCCCTCTTAGATAAATATCAATTCAAGTCTATAAGATACATTTGAATGAAGCAACTCATATTCACCAACAAGGATCATTCCATCAGGTTTGGTCGACTATCTTCTTTGACTAATTATATTAGCGACCATGACAAGCTGGGACGACGAAATTGTATGACGTTGATCGGGTTTATCATCATTCCCCCACCATTCTCTTTAAGCATTAAGTGATAAATTTCAAATTGTAACCCTAAATTAATTTGTTGCCATTATACATCGAGCACTTAGTGTCTATTTGTCGATTAGTCTTAATTGAAAATTCTCTCATTATCAGGGGGTAATTAACCATAAGGTCTTGCGCCTATGAAAAACCTAGAACCATATCATAAAGTCCTCACAAAATGAGGGCGAAATCTCTGGTTATTGTCTTATCTCAAACCTAATCGGCCTTATAGAAATTAACCCTAAACAACCTTAAAATTCTCCCAGTGAGAGGCCGAGCGCAAATTTTCGGAGCCCATATTCACATAGAAGTATAAACCTAGTGTATGTTGAATAGATATTTAGAGATCTTTTGAATCTTGATTTGACTTGATGATTGTGGGTTAAGATGGTTATTAAATATGAAAGCTTACATTGGTTTAAAGCTTCTACTTAATCTAGACGTTTTGGTGGGGGAAGTTCGTGGCTTCCACCATGAAGACTATGCTTTTAAGGCTAAAGTGATGCTTATAGTTCTTAGAACTTAGATGCTGTAGCTAAATATCTAATGGTTTGGTTATTTATTTTGTTCAGTCAAACAAATATTGACTATATACTTTTCATATGCTACCATTTGTTTTGGTGGTATGCAGATTTGGAATAATGATGAGCATGAGGATCTTCAAATGCTAGTTGTGATATCTCGTCCACCTGTGAAAGTGTGAGTAGTTATCCTCATTTATATGCCTATCAATTTGTTATTATTTTTCTTATTTGTGTCTGAGGGAAATAACTAATGCAAGCTCATACATGGTATTGTTATTTGCAATCTTTCATAGAATATTCCCTCGTTATTTATGTTTTGATCGTTTTTCACTGTTTTTTTTGACAGACATTGAAGCTCCTAAGCATCTGCTTTCTTTTTTTTCTTTTTTTTTAATCTAATTGAAGTTGATGGATTATGATAGAACAGTTCTAGATATATTTCAGACTGAATGCACGGGCTCCTTACATTTCTGTATTATCAAAGGAAATTAAGATTTCTAGGTTCGGACTGACAGTGATTTCATTAAAACATTGGCAATGCAACGCCTATTAGCTTGTTGGTTGAGCTTTATGTTTCTTTGGTTTTGCTGTCTTTATGTGTGATGTGTGAATTTGATATTAAATTTGCTCAAAATTAAAAAAAAAAGAAAATAAAACACTGGCGAGCTCGTTAAATTATCAACTTTTGAGCTGCATTTAAACGTGTTGTTGGTGAAAGATGGTAACTAGGGGTGGAACCTGTCTTAATTTTCAAGGGGGCAAACTTATAAGTAATTGTTGGTGTTGCCTTGAAGTCGACTCGTCGCTACAAGAAAATGGGTCAACCGGTTAATAGCGATGAAGTATGAATGATTTTTTTTGCAAAAAAAATTAAAAAGATGTAATTGATTAATCATTCAATTTCTATAAAATGTATGCTGGAGTTGTCTTGAATTTGGCTTGACCTCTATTTGTTCGTATCCTTGATCGTTGTACGCTTTGCAGATAGGTCGGGGGTCCAAGGGGAAACGCCCCCGGCGAGGTTCGACCTGTTTTGGTTGTAAGAATATTTTTTAAATTCAATTTAATTAATAAAATGATGAATTCTTTTTATTATTTCTCTTAGTATTTGGTTCATTATTCCTTAACAATAACACCACTATACAATGTGTTTAATTATCCTGGGGACAGTTGCCTAAAGGTCATAGTATTTTAAAACTTTTAGGTGGTTTGGGGGTGGGGGCAAACCCTTGTAATAAAGACAAAAAAATAGGTGGATGACAAATTATCTAAAGAATCATATAATAAAGAATTTTTTTTATGTGTGTGTGTGTGGGGGGGGGGGGGGGATTTGCCCCCCGGGGTTTAGGGAGCGTGACTTGTGGCATGTGTGCGACAGTATAAGAGCATGCAGGACACATGTCAGCAAATTGGCTTCATGCACATCGCACAATCCAAAAATACAGCTGGTGATTTTGAGTAATTAATATCCATATATTGACATTTAGTTTTTCTCTAGGAAAGCTACGCGTTCACTTCCACGATGGTCAGGCAAATTTAATATGGTGGAATGTAATCGATAAGGCATGCATTACAAGACAGATAATTTTGATTAAATTATCACTGTTCTCAAATTTTTTTCCATTTTGGTTGTTCAAAGTTGCACGAACTTAGAAACCTTGCACGAGTACCACAGTTCCAACTTTCCTTTTATTGTCCGAGAGTGTATGTTTTGTGTTTTGTTTCTTGGTCATAACGTATTTTCTACTCATTTTTAATGTAATTTCGGTAATTTGAAAACAGAATAACATGAAAAATAGTGTGTTTTTGATTAGTGAAAATTGAGAGTATGTCTAGAAGTTTTTTCTTCAAGTGCCAAATGAATGAACAGGAAATAGGTGGAGTAATAGTTGGGCTACTAGAAACTGCACAAGGGATAGTTGGAATCAATTGAAATTTAATTCTTAGAAACTTTTTGTGCCAAAGTTTTGTATTATAGATGCATAAATCATCGTAATTACCTTTTCCTTATATTATTTGGGTTTATTTTATGAATGATCATTTTTCAGTCATTTTGAATCGTCAAATTTATCTTTAAACAAATTAGTTTAACAGTATAGATAAATCCTTGGAAAAATTAAGAGCTGATGCAGAATTATGACTTAGACTTCGTTTGAGAGGACTTTTTTATTGCTTTTTAAAATAACTTTCCAGTTTAAAAATTAAAATTTTTACTAGAAATTAAAATTTTTATGCTAAAAAACTGCTTTAAGAAGCAAAAAAGTCGTCCCAAACGAAGCCTTAGACTTCACAATCTTGTGGTACATAAGTTTCATAGAATTTCTCTGTTGTCCAAAAGATGATGAATCACTTCGAGCTTCTAATTCACCCATGGTTTTTTATAAGGAATTTTAGTTTTGAATTCCCTTACTAGATTATTATTTGTTACACGATTAAATTTGTTTGTAACAGAATTTTTACTCTAAAAATTCAAGAGAGTTTACCTTGAAATCTACACCTATGATATTTTTCACTTACTGAAAATTGAAATTTCTTACGTGCATCGTTTAGCTTGTAATCAATATTAGTACAGTAGCTGAGTGTCATCAACTTATTTCTTGATGATTTACTGTTCTATTGTCAGGTTCATTTATAATGATTGGAGCATGCCACACACTGCAGCCAGGCTCAAGTTTCCTTTCTACTGGGACCAGGAAGTTTTGCATGAACCCAAGGATGAGCTCTGATATCAGTTTACAAAATAGTATGTATATGTATATATGCTCTCTGTAGATGACGAGCTGCAATGTAATGTAGTTATATAGTTCTTCTCACTCTTGATATGCCACTTAGTGATGGATTTTAATTTTAGAATAGTAAATTTGCTCTTAACATTCTTAACCTATTAACAAATAAATACTAATCACCATTTTTTTATCACCGCCATGTTACTCGTCTAATGAATGGACGCCCTGTTACTCTTACCACATGCTGCTTATGATCATTTTTATATGGATATAATTGACAGTATTATAAGCAATTTTATTAACCCATGTTAATTAACAGTTTTAGCTTAAAAATAAAATATTGAATACAAAACACTGTACATCGACATACAGAATTTTGGTTGCAATCGTTTTTTTTTTCAAACATTATCGTTGTTCCACGTGATGACGACTAATGTTAGCATTCACAATTGCTTTTATCAAAAGATGTTTGATATAGTATGTGGTGCTTCAATGTGGTGATTAATTTAGGGGTTTGTTTGTTTTGCTTAAAAAGAAATACTAACTATGAAATGCTGTATAAAATTAATGCAATGCATTCAAAATATTTGAAGTTGATTAGATGAGTTTAAAATTAATGCATGTGCTTTTATGCACTCTTTTAATAACAAATTTTAAGAAGTATGATAAAACATATGTAGGCTAATAAGCTAAATAACAATAAGATAGAATAAAATTCTGAAAAATGAGGATAATTTTATTTAAGTTCCTTATGTATTTATGTTATTGAAAAACGAGGATAATTGTCTTTGTAAAACTTTTCCCGTATAACTTTTTTATATGTTAAGAGATTTAGATTATGAATATTTTGAATATATTCTGAAAATTTTTTCCTGGGAGATTTTGAAAAAACGGCAATTTTTCCTACTCAAAAATTTATTTTGACATCGAAAAATAGTGCTTCAGTTTAATTAAAGCTTTAGGATGGCGTTTTACACAATCTATGAGTTTTTTATTTATGTTGTCTGCCGTTAGAACATTTTGACAATTTTTTAATTCAATTCAATTATGCTTTTATTAAAGAAATTTATAAAAAAATATGAAAGAAATGTGATGTGATATGATGTGATGTAGGCGGCAGTGGGCGACCAAGGTGACATTCTGTTACCGAAGTGTTATGATGCCTACGCCAGCCCGCAACGGTGACCGAGGTGGGATTCTGTTACTAAAGTGTTGTGATGCTGGTCCCAGTGGGTGACCGAGGTGGAATTTTGTTACCAAAGTGTTGTAATGCCGACACCAGTGGGCGACCGAGGTTGGATTTTGTTACCGAAGTGTTGTGATGCCGACGCCATTGGGTGCCCAGGTGGGATTTTGGCAACGAAGATATATGAAAATTTGGGCTTAACAATTATTCTAATAATTATTATGAAGTGATTGTTTATAATTCAATTAATTTTAGCATTTTTTTAATTTTATTCAATTTCATTATATGATTCAGTTTAGTTTTTCATTTTTTTTTAGTTTTTTAGTTTTAGGTTACGATAGCCTATTGAATCGGATTAAGCTCATTATGCTTTAGCAATTGTTTTCAGGCCTGGGGAAGGGTAAGGAGCGAGTTTGGATAGCAGGTTTCGATCTGTGCTATTAGTATGTTTTGGTTAGTTTTGATTTTTGCAGACTTGACTTTTATTTTGTTATTCTCTCTGTTACAAAGTGTTGTTATAGATAGCCTTCAGATTATATATAGAAAATTATGTTGAGATTCAGTTGTCTTCTGTTTTATATTGTATTCAATAATGCCTCAATATAGTATATAAATTAGAAGTTTATTTTAATACTTCTTCAACAAGATCTTGGGGTCAGTCTTGCCACAATCTGACACAATATTATCTATGTGATATCAGGTCATATTGGGTTGGGTTGTGACACGACATCTTCCTAATTTAGGAGAATTTTGGGGACATGTCAAGAAAGGCGTGCATGGTCGGTATCAGGTGACACCGCGGCTGTGGTCTTCTATGGCACAACGTCAAGAAAAACTTGCATTAGTTGCAAGGGTACCTACACTAAAAATTTACAAATTTCCCCTGCATAAAATCACACGCGAATACTTAATTTTATCCTGCCATGCTAAAAAAAGCGCGCACAGGGCTTACCTGTTTCGTCTCAGGCGCCGCGTCAAGCTTCCTCTCATCGTGCTAAGAAAAGCGCGCATAGGAGGTCTACTTATTGCGGCGCAAACGTAAACAACAAGATTTTAGAGTTCTTTTAAGTTTAGTGAGCATTATACCTTGCACCAGCGAGCGAGGAGAGGTGGTGATGATGTCAAGGGATCAAGTCACAATATTTCTCTTCCTCCCTCTTTTTTTTTGAATTTCTCTCTTTGGGTTGAATTTGTGACTTGGAAAGCTGGTAGTGGACTATTTTGGATTTGATTTGTGAGTTAGAGGGCTGGCAGTGGTTGTTTTGGGTTGGGTTTGTGAGTTAGAGGGCTGGTAGTGACTGTTTGGACTACTGTTTGGGGTTGGATTTGTGAGTTAGATGGCTAGGAGGAAGTGTAGGAGTGTAAGGTTGTTGCTGTTATGGAGAAGGTTGTAGTTGCTGCTGTTGGAGAGATGTGTGGAGGAGTTATTGGGTTAGTCTGAAGGTGACTGTGAGGTAATACAAGAGAGGTGGTTGCTGTTGGGCTGTAGGTGGGTTGCACAGTAAAGTGCTGGGCTGCTGTAAGGGAGAAGAGGGGTAGTTGGCTTGGGCTGTGAGGAGAAACGTAAATGGGTTGTGAGGAAGGAATGGAAAGGTGCTGGGTGGATTTGCTAGATGTTGTTGAAGACCTGCCAGTGTGAAGGTGTTTAGGTGAGAGTGTTGTATAGTATGGACTGTCTGGTGGTTTGGAAGGTCTTCACGTGAAGAAGATTGGCCCTGTCTGTTGTTGATGTGGAGTTCGATTAGGGGCTTGGATGAGGGAGATGGTAGAGGGAGGTCTGTTGTGGTTGTTTGGCTGTTTGGCTATGTGAGCTGCTGTAGTTGAGGAGGCTTACGGCTTGCTGTGGAAGAGGGGTTGTTTCGGCTGTTGGAATGCAAAGTGCAGGTGGAGATGCAGTTGCGATCAGTTTTGGCATGAGGTAGAGGAGGAGGACGGCTGTTGGGGTCAGTTTTACCGTGAGTCAAAGGCGGAGGAGGGCTAGTACATGAGAAGCAGAGAGAGACGAGGGAGAGAGCAGAGGGAGCTGGGGCTAGTGTGAGTGAATGGAGAGGGAATGAGAGGGAGCCGGGTTTTTGTTTTGTATTTCCCGTTGCCTGTTAACGCGCCATAGATTGTAGTGTCGTTTTGCAACGCAGCCAAATTGCGGGATTTAATTAGGATTTCGACAGGAGATTGTACCAGATAATCGACCCTCCCACCCGTAACGTGGTTATCGCACACAAAACTCATATTTTGGTGAAGGAAAATGCACACTAGGGTTTAGAAACATCCCCCTAACCTTCCCTAAACTTTTCTCTAAGAAAAACCAAGTTTTCTCAAAACCCTAGAAATCTTCTCTTCCAAAAATCTTGAGAATGAGAGGGAAAAACCTAGTTCTATTGCATACCTTTAACTTCCTTTAAGCTCCTCTACGATTTCCTCAAGTTTTCTCGCCGGAAAAAGTCGCCGGAGCCGGCCGTCACTCTTGCCCGACGCCCCTACCCGTCCGCCTCTTCTCTCTTGTCCGCTCGGTTTGGGTGAAAAGGGGCGAATGAGGGAGAATGTGAGGGGTTCGGTTTGCCTAATAGGGAGAAATGGGACATGCCAAAAGACTCTCATGCCCTCACTTAAGTAGATTTGGCTTAAGAAAGACTTAGGGGTAGGATTGGCATTTCTAACTTTCCAAAATTCATAATTCTCGAAATACTCATAATTAAATATAGGTTCTATATATGAAAACGATCAGAATTTTGCGCTCTATTTTCTAAAATTATTCCCGTCGAAATCTGACAACCTCAAAATTTTCACTTAAACCTCGTCGCGGCGCTTTGAAAAGCGTGCGAGGTCTTAGACGGCATTTTCGGGTTTTACAATATATATATATATAGTTTAAACAGAGGAAAAATATAATTAAACCCTAACATAGTTCTTCGCTTTTCGTGCATCGTGATTTCCATGTTGCCAATTCGTAACTCATGCAAATTTCGCTTTTTTGCTCTTGCAAGGATCCAAGCAATATTACTATCATTTCTAGGTATTTCTGATGTTCCGGACACAACAACGAAGTCCGTTTTGTGAACGGGCGGTGTTCAGGTAACGCTACGCATCATTTCATTCGTAGTCCGTCAATTTTGATTACCTTCTATGGCATGAGTAATATTACAACCTTTTCTAAATGATTTCGACGTTTCGTACACGATGTGAAGTCCGTTTTACGAACGGGCAATGTCGCGCAACGTAGAGTTTGTAAACTGTCGATTTCGACCACCTTCACTTAATTCAACTGCGAGGCGTCCTCCCTTAGGTAAATTTGATGTTCTTATAGCATCAGTGTAATTCATTTGACAATCAGAGGTTGTTTGAGTACTTTGGTGAAGTGTCGTGCTTGCCAATAGTCATGCTTGTCGTTATTTCAATTGATTTACACACAAATGACTCTGCCTTAGGAAATTTGATGTCCTGAGCATATCAATGTGATATATTTCACGATCGGATAAAGGTTTAACTTATTTTGATAGCGATCGAGGTGTCCTGATGCTCGTGATAAATGACATATCTGTTATTGATTATGGAATATGTATAGAGGTGAATAGTGCTTAAATGCAGATTCCTATCATAGGAAAGCAGCATGCCTTAACAAAACGTGAAGGTAGTTTTAAAAAAAAAATCGAATATGAAGGCCTTACTATGTTTCACCAGACTGAATGAATGCTCAACAGCAGTATGAAATACATCTTAGTGGGGCAGTTGCACATAGACATGGATCCTGTGCAATCTTTATAAATTTTTGGCTGAAAAAAAAATCTTTATCCGGAGATGTTAGGTGAAGGTGAAGCCAATTGAAGAGAAAGAGTTATTTTTGCTCATAATTTTGTGCGAATTTTAGTTGATTTTATGTTAAGACAGATGAGAATATTGGATTTAGGCTTCGTTTGGGACGGCTTTCTTACTGCTTCTTAAAGCAGCTTTTTAATAGAAAAAAATTATTTTTGTTTTAAAAAATTGCTTTAAGAACCAGTAAGAAAACCGCCCCAAACGAAGCTTTAGTCTCACATAGGATAGGTGAAAAACACAAAATAGTTGTCATTACCATTTGCTTTAAGCTTTCAGGTTGGAAATGTGAGTAATCAATCTGATGCAGGACTACTTAGATGCAATGCTTATGAATTTCATTTAGGCTTTGCACAACTCTTCGATTAGAATAAGTTCATAATAAAATTACTAGCAATTATCCACGGCGAGTAAAACAATGAAGGAGTTAATCTTGCATAGGCTAAATCACATGCGCCAACTTTTGAACAATCAAGATAATTGAGAAAATAAAAGCAATGCAAATAATAGTCTTCAAGTTAATCCCTAATCTAACAATGAGAGTTAGGATGCATAGAAAGCACACTCAATCCCTACAATTTACTAAGCTTTAGCAAGAGCACTTGGAGAAGACTTTCGCAATGACAATCTAACCAATTGAGAATTTGGATTTAGAAGAAATTGAATGCAAGTGGAAAAGAGGAAAACCTTTGCTTAAGGATACGTGGAGATCCTCCAATCAAGGCCTTCGACATGTTCGTTGACGGCTTCCGTTAGACGCACAAGATGCCCCCCACGTCCTCTTCGATAGTATGATCAATCTCATTCTCGTGATGATGTACACGGATATCTTGACAAGAAAGAAACTTCTCTTGCCTTGTGGTAGGGGAAAGAACCAATGGCTGAAATCTGAAATCAGTTCCAAATTCTCATGAGTAGACTATGAGAACTTAGTGGAGGGATCCAAGACTAGCCCTGAGAAAATTCGGCCAGCAACCAGTAAGGAGTTTCCAGATTTTCTCACAGGAAAATCAGCACTAGGAGAGAATTTCTGAGAGAAATTCCAATGGAGAGGCTGACGGGTACGTGAGAGAAGGTGTCCAGGGAATTAATTCCTAGTTTAGAATGCCATCTTAGGAAAAAAATGAAGTGGGCTTGAGTGGATTCGGCCCAGGCAGAAAATTATGGAGATCTGAAATTACTTCCAAAAGCTAGGGAATTGTTTAGGAAATAATTAAAACAAAGCAGCAGGAGGATTCGGCCATGAGGAGGTTTTCAAATTGTTTCCCAAAAGGTGGGATGTAGTTTAGGAAACAATTCTCTGGAATTGTTTACTGGGCCGGCAGCTAGAGAAGCCAAAGAGGAATTTGTGGAGAAGATTTTGGGAGATTAAAAAAGGCTAGGAGAAGAGGAAATTTCTTAATTAAATTCAATTTGAATTTGAAATTCAAATTGATGTAATTAAGGAACTTTCCTAAAATAGATTTATTAAATTAGGAAAGATTTTGAAATTCTCAAGGATTAATTTTGAATTTCAAATCTACCCACGTTCAACTCAATCTAAAATAGGAAACAAGCTTGAATGGGAGAAGAGGAGAGTGGATCGGCGGCTAGGGAGATGGAGGCCGGCGGCATGGGGATTCGAGCATGGGTTTGGCCGTGGAATGGAGGGGGATTTTGGAGGGGGAATTCGGGTGCTAGGGACACCGGCGGCTAGGTGAAGAGGGAGGAGATATGGGAGAAATAATGGGACGAGAAGAGAACGGGATAAACGAAAGAAACCACGAACCCGACTTATCTAGGTTGATGGGTATTGCGCCAAACTTCTTCCTCCCCTAGGAAGCTTTCTCCATTAGACTCTCAAGCTCTCAATGTTCATGCAAGAAGGAATTTTAATAAGCAATTCTTCATTCATTCATTCATCAACTTGAAAATAAAACAAAGGGGACTTTAAATAGCCTCATACAAAAGACTCCAAATAAAATAACACAAATGCCCTTAGGCTTACACATGACAACTCCCATAAAAAGGGGTACAATGGGAAGTAATAAAACACACATAAGAAAATAATAAAATGCATGAAAATAAAATACATCGACTCAAAAATATAAAGACTCGATCGTGGCCGTAGATCGGCGGCCACGTCGCTGGTAAACTTTCCATGATGATCTAATGTCCCCATCACAATCACCTGTGTATTTGGTCCAAGTTTGCTCCCTCTTTGATTGGTTGTTATCAATTAGTGATACAATAGTTGTTGGATTGTCTAGTATCAAGTGGTTCATGGGACTTCCATAAGTTTTTGATATTTTTATCATGATTGAGCAAGGTTCAAGAGTGGTTAACTTCCACACAAACTTCCAAGTATGTTTATTGTTAAACTGCTTTCTGTGTCACTTGTAAAATTGATATCAGCAACCAGTTCATTATTTTGACTGTTAAATCTAATATTTTTTATGATACCTTTAATATTACCGGTCAAGTGGCCATCTTTAGCTAGTCGAGCGATTAAATTTGTCATTGATACAATATCCTCTTGTTTTCCCCAGTTTTACAAAATCAATAATGCACTGCAGGACCAATTCATCCGTGCCCTTTATGCTGCTTTTCAACCTTGCATTTTGTATATCAGACAATATTTTTGATGATTTTCAGAAAGAGCAATAATGCACTCTCCTAAGAAATTAATTTAGCGTTGAATCATCATTTCTTCAATTATTATTAGACTAATATGATTTAAGTCTGCTTGTATTATTTAAACCAGCTTTTCTAATTCTTCCAATAACTTTATCCTATAACATGCAAAAGCTGATTTGGAGAAAGGATAGGCCTTTTGTATAAATACTTATATTAATTTATAAATAAGATGATATTCTTTGCCATTTTAAACAAAATATAGCAAATGGCCTATTTAGAATTAATTCACCTGTTTTGATTCAAATATTTTTTCTTCTAAATTCATTAATGACAACTTTTAGAAAAGGGTGAAATTTGCTAATTCTAGCATTTTGGATATGCATAGTTGGAAATTAACCTTGATTTCTAACTCATTGTTTTTCTTAAAATCCTCTCAAATGTAAGAATCAAATTCAATATTGTTCAAAACATATTTTCCATTTGCAAAAGCTAAAAAAGAGCCATAGGATTAAATTTAGTAAGGGGCTATTTAGTCGGAAACATTTTGGGTGTCAAGTAAATGTATGAGTTTTGAAAATTCGGTAGTTTGGGTGGTTGTGTTTCAAATGCAAAGTATTTTTGTAATGAATTTGCAGTTTATCATCTAGTTCATTTTCAAATGTATTTGAAATTCACTTGATTAGGGCGAATTCCAAATATACAACTTGTCCACCGCCAGCCGCTTGTTGTAGCCTACTTGCCAGCGTCTAGCCTAGGGGTGTCAATATTTGACAAGACACGAAAACCCGACCCGGAAAATTTGGGTTGGACCTGACCCGTTTGATAAACAGGTCGGGTTCGGGTTAGCAGATTCGACCCGTTTCATAAAACGGGTCGGGTTCGGGTTGACCCGGCGGGTTGCCGGGTCAACCCGAAAACCCGTTTAATTTAAAAATTTTGAATTCCGCCACAGCCGAGTCCGCGTCGCAAGCTCCCGCACAAGCCACAGCGCGTCCGCTTCCAGCCTGCACAGGCCACAGCCGCGTCCGCGTCACGTCCGCATCCACGTCGCAAGCTCCCGCGTCCGCGTTCGCTCGTCCCGCGACTCTGCGTCGTCCAGCAGTGCTCCGCCACGCCGTCCGGCTTCCAGCCCATATAAATTCGCGGGTCGGGTCTTGTCAACCCGGTAACCCGCACGGGTCGGGTACGGGGTTACAAACCTGACATGTTTGCAAAACCGGGTCGGGTTAGGGTCAACCCGTTTACAGCCGGGTCAAGTCGGGTTCGACCCGAACCTGACCCGTTGACCCGAATTGACACCCCTAGTCTAACCACCCACCTCCAAACACTGCATCTCCATGACTTGTCACCACTGCCTCTATTACCGTCAATCATCATCAATCTCCTCTTATTAACAATTATTCCAAATGCACTGTTATTTTACTATGCATTTCCTTCAAACTGAATAAAAAGTAAACTCTTGCATTTATAGTATAATTAACCAAACAACTTAAATGTATTTTTAATACACCAATTTTATTTTACAGTTATATTTCTCTTTCACTACATTCATTTTTCAACAGAATAATGACCTCTAATTATTGCTTTGCATTTTTTCTTTGCTCAATTGGCTACTTGAATCCATATCTTTTTATCTAGGGGTAAATTAGGTCGGCATACAATGAGAAAATGATAAAATAAAATAAAATCAAAATCATATTAACGTATGAAGAATATCTATTATAAGATGTGATATTAATTTCAATATATTGTTCATCGTTGGTTCAGGTTCATTTATGATGATTGGAACATGCCACATACTGCAACCAAGCTGAAATTTCCAATATTCGGTGTCTTTGAATCTTTCCAGGAGTTGAAAGATGAGCTCTGATATATTCCATTCATCAAATCTGCCTGCTTCCTAATTTGTTTGCCTTGTAAAAGTTCTAGATCTGTTATGGTATGTGTGCTATGTGGATGATGAGCTGCAGTGTAATACTATGCCTGAAATCTAATTGCACTTCTTGATACTAAGAAGTCATTAGTGATCCACTTCTCTGCTTCTTATGTAATCTTTTACTTTTAATGTGTCCAATTAACGTTTGCAAAACATTTTTTTTTTTTTCTGGCAAAGTTCTTAATGTCACTGGATGGCTATTATGTAAGTAGACACTTTTTCTATAGTGCCCTTTTTGGAGTGATTATTATGTGCGTAGTCCGGAAACCGAGAACCGTTCGGTTTTGTGACTGGGAACAGTAAAAATACAGTTATTGTTCACCACTGTGCTTTTACTGTTCAATGCTGCGCTTTTACTATTCACAGTCACAAAACCGAACATTTCTCTGTGTTCGAACTTCACACATAATAATCTCTCCCCTTCTTGACAGTCAAAAGACTTGGTGTCCCTCATAGGAAACCTCAACTGCTTTCTTCGCATGACAAATTTTTTCGTGTTTAAGTTCTTTTGTCAAGTAGATTTTGATTTGACTTGGATGGGTCACACTGAGTTTTGTTTGAAAACTCTTTATTTTGACAAATAGACTTATATTTTTGACTTGTTAGTGAAGATTTTTCCTCCATTTCCTTATGATTTTAAATTTTAATTTTCCTGTGTTGCTGGAATTCCACTGGCATCTCTAAAATGGATTGTAAAATTATAATTCTTTTCTTTTTTTTTTCTCTTGGTATGTGCTTGGTGATTATTTTTTATTATGTTTTGTGTTGTTCTTAAGTTTTTTTTTCGTTCCGGCAAAGTTCTTAATGTCACTTGGATGGCTATTATGTAAGTAGACTCTTTTTCTATTGTATCCTTCTTGGAGTGATTATTATGTGCGGAGTCCGGAAACCGAGAATCGTTCGGTTTTGGTATTAGGAACAATAAAAACACAGTTATTATTCATTACTGTGCTTTTACTATTCACAATCACAAAACCGAACGGTTCTGTGCCAGAACTCCGCACGTTAATCTCTTCCATTCTTGACTGTCAAAAGACTTTTTGTCCCTCATAGAAACCTCAACTTCTTTCTTCGTCTGACAAAATTTTTCTTGTTTAAGTTCTTTTGTCAAGTAGATTTTGATTTGACTTGGATGGGTCACACTGAGTTTTGTTTGAAAACTCTTTATTTTGACAAATAGACTTAGATTTTCGACTTGTTAGTGAAGATTTTTCCCCCATTTCCTTATGATTTTAAATTTTAATTTTCCTGTGTTGCTGGAATTCCACTGGCATCTCTAAAATGGATTGTACAATTAGAATTCTTTTCTTTTTTTCTCTCTTGGTATGTGCTTGGTGATTATTTTTTATTATGTTTTGTGTTGTTCTTAAGCATTTATTTCTGTAAGAAGTTGCCAAAAAACGGTCAAATTCTTTGTCATTTCTCTATCCCAAACACTTCGCATTTTATTTCATTGCCATGTCTCCCCGCAAACTATCTTTAAGAATCATTTCTAAGTTGCTTTCCACTATGGGCTGAGGAATGTGATGCCTTTTTATCACCCATCAGGCTCAATCTTGTTTCATTCGAAATTGAATCTCTTCAGATAATTTTAATATTTATTTTAGCTAATAAAATTCTCATTAGTTTTAATTATAAGAATCCATTAATACATTGTGTTAATGCTAATGCATTCATTGAAAGTGATGTGTTATATGACGTGAATATAACAAGAAATGTGCAAGAGGTTGTTGCACCAATGCTCAGGTGCAATGTTATGTAAGCAAGGATTATTACATTGTGGACAGATGTGGGCAAAGGAGTTAGCCCATGAAATTATGATTAAGATAAGAACTTGGAATATAGATTCTCTGCAAATTAATAGAATTAATAGATGTTATGATTCATAAGAAGAAATATTATATATATTTAGGAAACTAAATGAGTTGGAGAAAATGTTAAGGAAATTGATAGTTTATTATTTAAACTGTGATATTATGATATGAGTCGTATTATAAATAGTGTATGTATGATTATAGATAAGAGTTTGAAGGATAATGTTGTAGAAATTAATAGAATTAAATATTTTTTTTATTTTTTTTTTATTAATAGAATTGAAGATAAAATTATTACTTTAAATATTATTGTTAATACTAAGATAATTAATGTTATAAGTATTTATGTTCCTAAGTATATTTGGATGTGTTCAAAATTAAAATTTGGGAATGATTTCGAAGAATTAATACAAAAGATACATATCGAAGAAAGAGTTTTAATTAGGAAAGAATATAAATGGAAATATTGGTAAGATGGTAGAAGATTTTAAAAACATTCATAGTGACTATGAATTTAGAGAGAATCCTATTATGCACTCCCTACAAGGGAGGTTCATGTTTTCTATAATATGATTGACCAACATTCACATTACTACTAATAGTAATTTTGTTAGTACTGAATGATCAAGCTTCAATGGTGCTTTAGTGCATTGATTTTTCTTGGCAATGCCACCATCAATCAACTTATACATGTTAGAAGTAGATGTGTCATCCTATCTAGCCTTTGCACTAGGATAGGTAGGGCTTAACCTTTTGGTCAATCAAACCATAATTAAAGCATAGGACTGAGATACCTTCATACTCTACAGGTTGGAAAAATTTGCCTTCAACTCTTGCAACCCACACACTAGGAGGCAATCTCCTCCCTAGGTCCAGCCGCACAAACACTATATCAAACTCCATTCTTCCCCAATTATATATGTTTGAGAATCAATCCATAAAGGTTGCAATATAGTTGGGCCGGTCCCTCATTGATTGACCAATTATCGAGTGGGGCAAAACATGGAGGGTGGAACCCATCCTCCTGTTGGAGGAAATCTCTCCCCTTGGGTGGGGCCCAAGGGGGATTTTCAAATGGGAGGGGGCCGGTTAGGAGGGAAAAGGAAGGGAATGGCTATTTTGAGCATTGACTAAATTTTGTATGCTTTAAGTGGTTTTCCCCATGATGAGGTTTATGTTATGTTTGGGCTGAATTTAGGGTTTCTTAGGTAATGAGGGTTCTAGCTGCTAGCTAGAGATTTGGGAGAGCCAGATATTCCTCTCCAATTAAAGATCCAATTGTATTTTGTTATTTTCTTTCAATTTTTTTACAATGAAAAGTTTGGTAGTATTTATTTTTCCCAATTTTCCATTGTGGCTCACTAATTTGGTTGAAAGTTCACCTACTTATTATCAAATTGGTATCAGAACGATATCTAGGGCTAAAATACAAGTCTTCGTCATTGATTTCTGCTACATTTTTCTCTCCAATGTTATTAATTTTGTTGTTTGAAGACCAAATTCATTATTTTTTGGCAGTGGAGCGTAGATCCGAGTACCCATGGTAGGAAGAAATGTAGAAGTTTTGGAGGGAAAAATCATACAATTGAAATTTGAAAAGTTGGATCTCCAAACTCAATTTTTATATTTCAAAAGTAAAATTTCAGCCATTCATGAAAAGATTGATGATAAATTTTTCATCATAGAGGAAATATTGAAGTAGTTGCTAGAGGGCCAACCCAAAATACCATCGTAGGAGGCGAGGGAATATGTTGGCAACTAAGGAAGTGGGGAAAATCCTAATTCGATAAGGCAAAGGGAATTTTAGGAGGTGGATATTTTGGAGGAAAAAGAGATAAGGCCTCCCTATAGTCTATTCTTTGAAATATAAAAGAATAAAGTCTATTCATAGGGAAGAGTCAAGTAGAGGGTATGGAGAGAGGCGTGAGGAGATTGGGCATGAAAGAAGGGTTACTGAATTTGAAAGTAGAAGGATTGATTATGATCCAATGGGTGCTGAATTTGAAAGAATTTGAGATTTTGATGAAAGATTTGAGTACGAGTGTAGAAGAGATGATTGAGACTCTTTGGGAGGGGGGACCACCTCATTGGGTAATGGAAATTATGGAAGAAATTGGAGGAATGAAGGAGATTCGAGGGCGAGCAATTGAAGATGCATTTTTTTAGGGAGATGATGCACATGAGGGGATCTATAGGGTGGAAAGATACTTTACTGACATGCAATAGGTTGACGGGGAGGAGAGATTGACGACTATTTATTAGAGTAATGTGCACATATGCTCATTTCAAACTAAATTACTCCATGTATTCATGAAATACTTGCTAAAGTTCACCCCAAGAGAAAAGTGTTTGAATTGATTCAAAATTGGAAGTTAATTTGAAACTAATTTGAACACGTATTGAACTTGTGTTGATGAAGGTTGTTAGTTTAGGTATTATGGGATTGTGATGAGCTTAGATATATTGCAATGGGAGTTCACTAGGGACTCATAGATGTGACTAGTGAAGGTTGTTGGTGTAGGCATTTTGTGAATGAGTTTGATGGGGGCTTGTAAACAATACTAATGAAGGTTGTTAGAGCTGGCATAATGTAAAAGAAGTTTATTATGGGCTTGTGAATGGGGCAAAAAAAAGGCTATAAAATCGGTATCAAGAGATTGCAATGATATGACGCCCTAGGATTTAATGGAAGGATTGAATACTTAAACCTACATTTTTTTTACTCAATCACATACAAGAATAAACCAAAGTTACTATTAAATCCAAAATAATAATACAAAAGCTGACTATTAAACATCATTTGATTTTATTTTACAAAAAATAGTATACAATGATGTGTCAATATATGATCTATACATTACTAAAATCCATATCTGGTTACAAAAGAGTATATTTACTGTCATTGACCAGAAGACTTTGTCCCTATCATTCTCTTTCCATTCAGGTTAACCTTTCTTTTTGTTAAAATATCAGAAAATATCATATGATGAGCATAATCAGCTCAATAAACTCCTATCACAAACCAATCATAAATATTAATATCTAACTAAAATATTAATATAATCTATTTAAATATTAAATAAATCCTTAAAGCAGAAATAAAGTACTAGTAGGCATGATTCAATATAATCGTTAAAATGTTCTTGATTTTAGAGCCATCACTTATATTTTTATAATTCATTATCATATGAGAATCTGAGATGTCAAAGAACACTGGTTATCAACATTTCACTTGCATTAAATTTTCTCATTTCATTAGAATTTATATACAAATTTAGGGTTTCTTGGAATTATAACTTCCCAGGAGGTCATCCATCCTAAGATTTCTCTAGGATGAGCATGCTTAAATTTAGAGTTTCTTAATGAAATTCTAACTATTACAGCAAAAGGTATCTTAATGTTTAAGAGTTTAACAACTTTTACTTAAGGGTTTTCATAATCTCCCACACTTAAGAAACTAACGCCATCGTCATCATCCTTATCCCATAATCATGCTCCAAGTAGATAGGATTTTAGGAATTTCCCCTACAATTTCAAGTTGTGACTCTCACCACGTAGCACTTTGTCCCATAAAGGATTTAAGATGTGGCTCCCACGGCATAACACTTTATCTTGTATGACACTTAGTTCACATCTTTCAGTTCGTGTATTATTCTAATACAATTTGTAACTTCCTAGGAGGTCACCCATCATAGGATTTCTCCATGATGAGCACGCTTAAATGTGAAGTTTCTTAATGAAATTCCAACCATTATACCAAAAGACGCCTCGATGTTTAAGAGTTTAGCCTCTTTTATTTAAGAGTTTTCACAAGAACTAGCTAGCTTAGAACATCTTTTATATTCAGTTTGTTGGGTTATCAAAATATACAATGTATAAGTATAATGCACATGTCCTATTGCATACTTATAACTCCACTTTCAATTATAGTTTCATTTAACCTCACACACATGCATTCATTAAGTGGGGCCAAAACAGAACATAGTAACATCCCACACCCTTATTCAGCAAGCGAGGAAAGAATCTCTCCCACATCAACACAAGGGAGATGGTGTTAGAATATAATATATAGCGTTATTGTATCATATCACAAAGTGCACTTATCATATTTCAGAATTAAAAATTCTAACACCATGTGATGAGTTATGAAATTTGAATGCAAGAATAAGTAATTATGACTTTGATCTATGATTATGATGATGCATGAAGTATCATAATTGCCTATAGTAGTTCACACGGTATGTACAAAAGCATACTCACTAGACTTTTCCATTCCAATTATAATTTTAGGGGAATATGCACAACAATGTTTTAAGCAATTTATAAAACTCTCATGAAAATCATAAATGTCTCATTTGCTCAGCACACACAAAATTTAATATAGTGAAAATCAACTAGTAGAAATTTGACTTCTTATAGTTAACATAATTAGAATAAAGTATTCGACAACATACCAAAAGTTATACAGTAAAAAACATCATAAAAATAAAGAAAAATATATTTTCCATCATAAATTTTTTATAAAATCACTGTAATTGAAATCATAGACAAGTGTTTAGAAGTATGCTTTGTGCTCTACAAAATCTCTAACTGGTCTGACATTGTGGGCTCCGAAAATTCACGCCCTGGCCTCCCCTGCGTAGGAGAGTTTTAACTAAGTTATGGGTCAAAGTTTTAGAAGAAAGATTGACTTTGAGATAAAGCACTACCCAGAGATTGCGCCCTCATTTTGTGAGGACTTTATAATCTGGTTCTAGGTTTCCCATAGGTGCAAGCATCTATGGTTAATTACCCCTCCTGATCATGAGAGAGCACTTTCAATTAAGGCTAGTCATTAAGTACGTATGAAATACCTATAATAACTCAAGTAAATTTTTTTTAATAATAACATTATTAATTTTAATATTAACAGGTTCTGAAATTTAATACAAATATTATTATCCAATTTACATTAATTATATAATAACTTATATATTAGTTGATTTTGATTTTTTTTTGTTTTTTGTTTTGTCATGCTTATGTGTTGGCAAATTTTTTTTGCATTTTTAATTTGTACATCATTGCCTTGCAATTTTGTGTCAATTTTACATTTTTGCTGGTATAAGAATTTAGACAATATTACTATCAATTTTGAGTATTTTTTATGTTCTGGAGTTGATGAAGAAGTTTGTTTTATAAACGGACGATGCTTATTCAACGTCGAGCAACATGTCGCTTGTAGTCCATTGAACACCGTCAAGGTGTCCCTTCATGATTAATTTTAATATTCTGAACAGATTGATGCAACCCATTCAATGGTCAGAGAATATTTGAGGTAATTTTTACTAATGTCGTGCTCATTAACAAAGTTTTGCTCGATCAAGTTGCATATGAACAACTTCTATTTGGTATATTTGATGTCCTAAATGCATCGATGTGATTCATTTTGTAATCAGACAAAGTTTTAATCATTTCATTATGGTCGAGACACTCCGATCTTTATTCTGAACGATGTCTTGTTTACCAACAATAATCGATCATCACCTCCGTTACTTGCATTGATCATGCCACATACATAGAGGTCAACCACATACATAGAGGTCAACAGACAGATGAATGCACTCCTTGGCCTCTGAATCTCTCTCTGTCTCTCTCTCTTCTTTCTCTCCCATTCTCTCCTTTCCTCCTCTTTCTTCTCCTTTCAACCACTTTCTTCTCTTCCTTCTCTAGCAAGGTGGTTGGGGTGTATTGAAATGGATTAAGTTATTCTTTTTATAATAGTTTCATTTTGGCTTGGCATCATGTCACTAATCTTCTTAGGGCCACGACACTCTCATAATATTTTTGACAAATTTGAATTTATATTCCCCATTCCAATTCTAAACCCTTTTTGGATTAATTGGACGCTAAATAACTTATATTTGACAACTCATTCAAGATAAATCAAGAGTTTATACAATATCAAGTCAATTACTTAGGTTTAGAAACACCAGGTGTTATAAATGCGACATTAGTTAATTAAGGTTAGGGCTCGTCGATGATACTGTTTAAGCTCACGAAAGCTTGCATCATAAGAGTTTAGCGGGCCTAAACTAAGGACCTAAAGTTGGGACTGGTGGCTTGCTATGGACGAGAACTTGGAATTGGTGGCATGAACTGAGCTTGTTAGGAAAGGAATTGTGATCTTGTTTGAACCTAGGCCTTGCTTGAATATTGTTCAAATAAGATTCAAATTTGAGATAATTTGAAGCAAATTTATTCGTGATAGACTTAAAACCAATACTTTGCATATATAAAGAGGGCAAATTTAATCAAAAATATACTTAAAGGCATATTTTCCTAAGGGATAAATAATGGATATAGATATAAAAATAAACATCTCTATTTATATATACGAGTTATTTTTTAATGATTTATTAAAAATAGAGACCTAATAATTCATACATTTTCATAAAAAAATATTTTTAAAATCAAAACTTAATTTTAAAATATTTTCCCCCTATTTTTTGAAAAGTAAGAAAATTATTTATTTTAAAGATTCCATAATATTATAGGGATTTCTAATAGAATTTCCTTTTCACTTCATAGCACCAGGCGGTCCAGGCCCCGTGTGACTGAAGGTACTACTAGCCTGGCTTCTTCTTTCCCAATTCGATGCGCCGGACCATTCGATTCTTGGCAGCTACCGAGCCTCCATAGTGCCCCATTTCTCCGGCGAACGGTGTAGATCTCTCGTCGGTCCTTGATAACAGAAACAGTAATCTTCATCCTCTCTCCTTTCTTTCTGTTTTTTTCGCTCTAACCCTCTCTCTTACTCTCTCCCTCTCGCTCGCTCGCTCGCTTGTTGGCTTCCTCTCTCTCTCTCTCTCTCTCTTCGCAATCAAGGAGGACGGTTAGGTGAAGGCGAGAACCATAGTATATTTCTGAGCTCGATGCAGGGCTGATTCGGTCATCCAGTGGGTTGTTGTCGTCGCCTTCCTTGTTCTCTGCCTTTAGGGCCACTTCCCTCTATTTGATTTTTTGGTGTTCTCCTTTTTCTCCTCATGGCCAGTCGTGATTGAGGAGGTTGTTTTTCCAGGAAGTACGGGATATTGAGAAAAGTAGGCGAGCATCTTTACACTATGAAGAGTGAACACTTCAAACGCTTTGTTCTTCATGTGGCAATAGATATTTACTTCCAAGAAATTTTTTCATGTCAAATTCATTGTCTTATTACTGAACAGTTCCTCATTTTTAATGCTGATCATTTATTTTTGGAAGAGATATTTACCTTGAGTTTGATAAGTTGAACAATCTTCTTGGGTCAATGCCCAACTGAGGTTTACTTCCCATGTTTAACTTCTTGCATTACATAATTTATCATGATTTTTGGTTTGGGATTAGGGATCTGCAACTTTTCAGATATTGCTATGTACCTTTTTCTTCCCTTAGCTTTCTTAGTTTATCTGAAACGTTTTTTTTTCTCCTTTTGCTCATACTCTATTAATGATGAGTGAAATTTTTTGGTGAAGATGATGAGTTTTGGTTGCCATAATTGACTTCACCTTTTATCCTTCTATGTATTCAAATGAATGGTTGGTTAACTGTCAAAACTCACATAAAAGCTGTTGTATTTGAATTTTCGGTATATTTAAATTTTTATAATTCTAGAAAGAAAACCCTTCAATACGTGCTGGCTTCATAACCAAGTTCCTAACCTTATCTACTTTTCAAGTGTTCTTCGATCATACCTTTTAAGAAGTGAATGAGTTACAATAACTGTCAATGAATTATAGGCATCCACCTTTACTAGTTTATAAGTTTTGATGTGTTACTTTCAAAAAGTATATTTCTAGGGTAAGATGCGAGTAACTAAACTATTTTCTTCTTCGTGTAGGTTGTGCTAGACAGTAACACTATATTATTATTTTCATGGGATGGCAGTGAGTTTTGTAGAGGAGCCTCATTGTAGATTTGAGAAGACTGCCATTATTTCCGATTCTAAACATTCTCCAGCAGCATCAAAAGCTACTGAGATCATTGAGGCTGATGATGATAAAGAGCCAAATGAATGCAAGCATTTTACCATTCGGTAAGCTTCGCCGGTCCCACTTTTTTGGCCTTGTTGATTGTGAATGCAGGCAAACATGGCTTGCTTAAAATTTCTTATCTTTTTCAGTTTCTGATGGTTTGATAGTTGTTTTTTTGTCAGCTGTTCTGTCAAATAATGATGAAAAACAAGCTGATACTTGTGATTTATTATTTTTCTTCTAATTGTGTAATTACTGTTTGTAAAATAGCAGTTAATAGACATATAAGATATGCTATTTTTGCTAATGTTGCCCTAATGACTTACCTGTTTGAAGCTATTGAATTTTGTAAGTTGTTTTATGATGAGTCATCTCTATCTTTAATGCAGTGGATATGTTGCTGAGGTTCGCAAGAGAGATTCAAAAAATTGTTGGCCATTTTTGTTTCATAATCGTGCATCACTGGAAACTTCCAATGTGTGTCCTCCACTACCTGTTGCAAAATTTAGGTGGTGGGGTTGTCAGAATTGTGTATGTGAGGTAATTGCTACTGCAACTCAGATGACTACTGGAGGAGCTATGAGTATACAAAATCAAGATGTGAAAAGTAACAATAATTCATTGCTGGGAAAAGATACTGGAATATCTCAGTTTGATGCAAGAAAAGTGTTGTCTAAATTGCCACAAATTTCTAAAGAAAACAACCTAAAAGAAATACTAAAGATGAACGATTGTCTTGTTAAAATCAACAGGGTTGGAAAGGAAGAAAATGAATGTCTACGAAGGGAGCTAATAGAAGAAGGTAAAGGGGTATCCTTACTGCCCAAAACAATTTTCTGATATGTATTTGTGATCTAATTAGCACTCGTTTTGCATGTTTTCTTGGCAGGTTTTCAGAAGTGCAAGGATGGTCAGGATAGTCAAAATGGGATTCAAATTGTCGTAGGTGAAGCTAATTGTGTTTCTAATGGATGCACTGATTCCAGCAAAAGAAAAAGAGGTGAATATAGAAATTCTTTTGGCAGGAAAAAATTGGGGGTTGCCTATCTTAAAGATGCTTTAGGCACGGCCTTAGTCAAATGTAAGGGATCTAAACTAAGTAAGATTGGTCATTCCAAGATGCTTGGTGGAGATGCCACATCCATCAGAATCAAGTTCGCATTACGTAGATCAAAAGAACATAAGGGGCCGGAAAGAAGAATGGCAGATAAGAGAAGAAGGAATGATGCAATGAAAGGGAAAGGGCATACTAAGTTAGATATGGTTGTTGGAAAAGATGATGTTCTGAATGCTGTTCCAGTTCATACATTGTGTCTTGGTGCCTGTTTTCAGGACAAGCGAACTAGTGGAGCATCAGGTGATGGCTCAAAGTTCATGGGTTTCACTGATGATAAACATCAAATAAAAAATGATGTTGAAAATACGCATGGTAAGAAGGTCAGAAAAGTTCGATTTCTGGAAGATATCATAAGAAGTGAAAAGCAGTATATGATTGGAAATACTCTAGATAGAGATGCAAAGACCATTCAGCATGATTTCATAGGAAGACAAGTTACATCAAAGGAGAAAGTTCTACTTTTAAATGACACAAGTAGCGGGGCTTATCAAAATAATGCCTCAAAATTTTTCAGAGGCAAAAGCAAAATTCAGAATTCTATAGAGGAAGATGAGGATGAGGATGATGCTGTTACCTGTATAGATAGGATAAACCATTTTGTTTGTCAAAGAAGTAAACTAAAATCAATTAAAAGGAAGGACATACATGAAAACCTCTTTGATGAAGATGAGGGGCCTTTCCTGATGCATTGGCTGAAGAACATGCCTAAAAAGGCAAATGCTTACGAAAGAGAAGCAAATGCCAAACATAACAATGGTAACCTCCTTTTATCCAAGTTTTCTGCTGATTTATCAAGCAGAAGGGATCAGGATGTAGATGTTAGAGATTTTGTTGTGAGAGTACATAAGCAGAAATCTGCTTTTAATCAGAAACATACTTTATCACCGGAAGATGGCCATAGGACTTCAGGCATTCTGATTGGTGACGAAATGAAGTCCAAGAACTTCAGTTCCCAGGATATTAGTAAAAAAAACAGTATCATCACTGAGAAAACACAGCATTTCAGCAAGGAAACTTCGCATGGAGCAGGAGGAAATGCTATCTTACATAGCATAAGAAACAAAAAGCCTCTTAATGACAGAATTGGACCTTGCCAGACAAAAGTATTTGATCTAACTTACCCATTGTTTTTCAACTATATTTTGCTCATACATTTATTTGCATGTTCTTCCTTCTCATTTATCACTGAATGGTTAGTTAGGGTGTGCGACTCAAGTACATCCTTTTCAAAGTTTGGCAGCATATTGAAGTCATGTTATGAGAAAATCTTACCTATGGTAAAAGGTACAGCTCAATTCAGTTAGTGCCCATTGCATGAAAGGCATAGCTCATTGTGCTTCTAGTTCATCTTTTTCTCCTTTCTCAAACTTGCAGGCATTTTTGCTATGCCATTTGAAGTTATTTTATGAGAAAATCTAATTCACTATCCATTGGCATAAAAGGCTCAGTCTAATGCTCTTAAGACCATTACGTAGCATTCATTGCTGTAGGCTATAATGACTTTTACTTTTTTTCGGCTATATTTTATGCAACATTGTGGTAAGGCGTCCATGATTGCTAATTGCTGATAATCGACACTTCAGGATTCTTCTTCTACACAAAAGAAAGCTTCTTTGGAGGTTTGGAAAAAAGCATCAAAGAAGCCACGAAACAGGCGGACTACTGACCAAGAAGCTTTAGATGATATTCCAATGGATATTGTTGAATTATTAGCCAGGAATCAGCATGACCGGCATCACGTTGTAGCTGAAACTGATTCTACAAACAAACTTAAATTTCCTGCAATGACTGAAAGCATCAAGTATACTTGTGGTCTAGATCCTTCTCATATAAACAAGAACAATATATCAGATGCAGAACAAGGGAATCTTTCATGCAAAAAATTCCAAGTCAACAACAAAGGTTTTGATGTTTGGACTACATTCCCATGTAATGGTGAGATGGAACATGAGCCGAAAGTTTGCAGTTGTTCTATCAATGGAAAGAAAAAGCTTCAGATTGATTTAAACCAACGTTGTAGTGATTCTCTAATTAGTGGAGCAAGATCTTGTAATTTGGAAACCAATGGTAACTGCCATCAGCTAAATTTCTCCTGTTGCAGAAGCAATAATATGCACTCTTCTCAGTCATTTCTTGAGGATCAGACGGATGTTTGTGAGAATATATCCGGGAATCCCCATCATGAATTGCTACAAAATATAAATGGTGCATCCTACGGAGTTCGAAATCATTTTATTAATAATTTGAATGGGTCAGGTCTTGGGTCAGGTCTTGGAAGAGATCTGAAAATGTTTACTCACTCAGATGATTATGAGAAGCCAAGAAGCGTAGTTGGGAATCATCACCATTGGGGTTTTCCCCCAGCAGCACCAGATGCTTTGTCTTTCATGGACTTAGCAAATGCTTATCATTCAAATTTTTGTCCAGCAGACCTCTACAGCAATGAAACCATATCTGCTTTGAATTTGCTAAGGCTGATGGATCAAGCTGCACGGTCTGGTGAACCTCGGCATCATTTTCAAAGTTGTTCTGGATTTATTAAGGAGACCGACTTGAGTGCCTATGGTCAATATAACGAGCCATTATTAGAATATGGAAGCCGAGAAAGAGAACCCTGCATATGCCCACTGGAAGTTGTTAATACAAGTACATGCCAACCAAGAAATTCCTGCTTGCTTTTCCGACCACTTCCCAGAATTGGAATATTAGGACCTTCCTTACAAAAGGAGATCTTCAATTTTTCAAATTATAGTAAAATACCAACTAAGAGTTCCAATGGATTTCTTAGAACTGATGTGAATGAGAAAATAGAACCTTCTTGTTTGAACCCAAAAACTTTGGCATGGAATTCCCATAACTCTCTCTTTAGATGCAAATGCTCTGAAAAGATTAGCCCAGATAGAGATCCTGATAGATGTCACGATAGATGCGCCACCTCAAATACAAGATTTTCCTTAGTAAGGGGTGGCGCAACTCAAGTGGAGTTGAACAATAAGGTTGATGCTCTTCTTCCCCTGGGCTTTTGTAAGATGGAAATTTGTGTTGTTAATAGAAATCCTGCTGATTTTACTGTGCTTGATGAAACTAATGAGTATATGATAGAGATCAAGGAACTAAAGCTTAAATCTGTGCCACCATCTGAAAGCCTTCGAGGTCCTGTACATGGGCAGAAGAAGCAGAGAGTTATGAAGCTCAACGATCTGAAAGCATTTGCAATGGGATGAAAGTTCAAGCACCTATTAGTATCAAACTTTTGTTGTTTTGAGGAGCTTCAGTAAATATCAATGAAACTCCTGATTGTCAATATGTGTATACTTTTTTCTTAAGTTTTCTTGTAAAGAAGTCGTCATTAAGCTTCAAACAGCCCTGAAGAATTGGAATACAAGCTCTCTGGGCATCTAATTATGTTTGTAAAGGTCTGAATAGGTGAATGTGTGATATAAAAGCCGGAACTGACCTGGAGTAATAAGTATCATTGGCTGGGTTCTTAACGTTATGGAATAATATTTCATTGGATATACCGCTTCCAACTACAGCGGCTTGGTGTACAGTTAAGAAGTTCTTCAGTCTTGTACAATGTCAAAAAATACAGTTATTGGCCATCTTCATCCAACATTATATGCTTAGCAAAATTATGTCAATGACCTCAGATTCTCTTGCTTTTCTGCTCAAGAACATAGCAGCTTTGATGATGTCGCCACAACTTATCTATCAATGTAATTGTTTCAAGAGTATATACTTTGTGTGAAGCTTAATTTGCTTATTCCAAATCTGGAGATGAAATAAACATGATGATTAAAAAGGTCTGCTGTGTTATTCCAATTTTTGTTAGAACATTCTTGCATTCAAAAGGTATGCTGTATTCCTCATTTCTGAGCTTCTATAGAGATAAAAATATTTTTCTTCTGTACTGCACTTTTACAAATACTAGCATAACATCTTTTTTGTAATTCCGATCCTATGTAAAAGATTTTGTGGCATCTATTTGATGAGTTCAGGTCAGTTGGTGCTTCCCTATATTATACCAGCTTTTCATCTGTATAGTTCTCTAAGGTGGAGCTAATCCATGCTCATTGTTAAGCATTTAGATGCAGGACCAAAATGTTTTTAAAATTATGCGATAAGAGTTTGTATGATTTTTTGATTAGAACAATAAAGATTAAAATTATTAGCAATTAAAATGACACAAAAAAAAAAAAGAAGAGAGGGATGCCTACATTTAGGCTAAGCCACTTGCCAAGCATTTGGAATATCAAAACAAGTTAGAAGCTCAAAATAGCTTTCAACACAATCCCTAATCTAACAATAAGTTAGCCACATAGAAGGTACATTCATTTTGTACGTTTACTAAGCTCGGCATAGATAGGCGAACAAGACCTTCATAAATTAAATCAAACCACAAGAGAGAGTTAGACTATGAAAATACAAGAGTAAGAAGATTGGAAGGCCTTCGTCACGGCTTGGACGTAATCCTCCACTGAACGGTACCAAGTTGCTCCTCGATAGCTTTGATGAGAGTGTCTAGAATGCGCTCCATGTAGTCCTCGACGGTGTTGTCGATATTCGGGTTGACGTCGAAGAAAGTCGAGTGAAGAATGCGCACGAAACCTTGCTCGTCGTAGGCAAGGCTGTAGTCAAGATCGGGATCAGCCATGCATCGATCATGTTGCCTCGAAGTGTTGAAGGAGGTGGCACTTTGCTGTCCTCGTCATTTTCCCTTTGAAATAAAGGGATTTCTCTCAAGACTCCAAGTGGGAGAAGGCAAGAGAAGTGGCCGTCCAAGGGGAATAGGTTTGGGGAATTTAGGTTTAGATTTTGGGAATTAAAGTGGAGGGAAAATGTTTCAAGCAATCCTCTAATTAATCCCTAGGTTTGGGAGCAATTAAAGAAGAGAGAGGGGGCATGGGCGACAGCAAGAGAGAGGAGGTTAGGGGATTTGTTTCCAAAATTCAATATTTGATTTTGGAAAGTAATAAGGAGGTGGGGCTTAGGAAGTTTCGGCCAAGGAGGTGGAGGGAATTAGGAAATGTTTCCAAGAGAAGTTTAAGGGGTTTTGGTAATAAATCCCTTGGGATTTATTAATTGGGGGGCGGCGGGCTGGCGGCAAGGGGCTAAAGGGGGAAAATAAGGAAGCTTTTAATGCTTCCTTAAATTAGGTAATGAGATTTGGAATGAAATATTTCATTCCAAATTGAATTAAAATCAATTAGGAAAAAGGGTTTGAAAACTTTCCTAAAATAGCTTTCTTAAATTAGGAAAGAATTCAAATTCAAATAATTTTGAATTTAAACTTTCCTAACTTGGAGTGGTTGCTTATGGAAAGTATTCAAGAGGGAGTGTAATTTGTGGAGGGAAGATGGGGAGGTGGGATGGGGCCGGCGGCTTGGGGGGGTTGAGGGGAATGTCTGGTGGAGAGATGGGTTATGAAGGCCGGCGGCTTGGGTAGTGAGGTGGGGTGAGGAGGCCGGCGGCTATGTGATGAGGAAAAAGGGAAAATAGATAAGAAGAAGAACCATGAACCCGGTCATCTCTAAGGTTGGTGGGTGATCCAAATTTCCTCTCCAAGGGACTTCGCTCCAATCTCTCAAGCTCTCATAAGAACTCAAACAAGGGGAAATTTTTTTTATCATTCATTCATTAACTTTCAAAGAGAAACATAGGGGCTATAAATAGTCTTGTACATAGGACTCAAAATAAGAAAGATGACAATGCCCTGAGAGCTTACATACGACCTCCCTTAAGTAAGGGGTAAAAACAGAAAACAACTACAACGTAATAAAATACAAATAACATAATAATAAAAGAAAACAAATACATGAAATGACTCAAAAATACATCGACTTGATCGTGGCCGTAGATTGATGGCCACGTCTTTGATATACTTTCCATGCTCTGATGTCTCCATCACATTTTTTTTTATGCATCTTATTCGCTTTGGTTGGGAGGGTGGTGCAACCTAATTCTGGTTAGTTTGGGCAGCTCCCATCATGGTTTTGATTATTTTGAAAATAAAAAATGGCATCACTTGTGTTAGTCTTTTGTTTCGTAAGTATGTATGTATAACTATACTGACCTCCACTTGACATTCGAAGATCAATATCGGTACATGCAATGGGGACAAAGACCAGTTGACACTACATCGTGCAAAATAAATTGAAGCTTCTTGATCATTGCCAAACCATTCAAAAATCGATCATTTAGAAAACTGACTATGTCAACGAATACGAAAAATCAAAATTATCACAGAAACACCCTTGACATTTTACTCGATTGAACAATAACGAAATAATGATATATGGACGCAACATTGTGTGAATTATCTAAATGTCAGTTGTTCGCAAAATGGATCACATCGTTGTGTGAAGAATATTGAAATTACTAAGCAACGCTGACCCATATTTGATTCGAGCAAATGCGGTCGAAAACGATGGACTACGAACACAACGTTGCATGAAATTGTTCGAACCGTTTGTGAAACGAGCTATGCCGATGCGTTCTGAACCTTAAAATTACCAAGAAAGGAGACTCCAATTGTCAGGGTTGTTGTACTAGTAAAAATGTGAGATTTACCCGCACATGAGGTGACGACATGCAAATCGAAAGGTGTGGGGAATGGAAAATTGCACAAATAGTCTTTTACTTATATCTCTTTTACTTTTTTTTTTTAAGTTTATTAATATAAAATATATATTTATATATTTTTCTAAATAAAATAAAAAACCCCTCTATCAAATCCTATCATATTCTATCCCCTTACAAAAGTCCCTGCAAATTCGACACTTACATTGTCACATCATGTTATCCCGTGTGTTTTAATTAAAATAATAATAATAATAATAATAATAATAATAATAATAATAAAACTTAAAAAAACTAACCCTCACGACCGATTTCCCAATTTGCTAAAGCCCTCTGGTCCCATCTGTCGCGCGAGACACACTGAGCTGTCGACCCTTCTACTACAAGAAAAATAGCTTTTTTTGGTGGAAATTTCAATGGAATATCATCCGTTAGAATCACCTACGACAAATCAACAAGTGCAAAACGCGGAATTTCTGACGAAAATTCCGCCGGTTTTAAATAGGTCAACAGAATTTTTGGCGGAAATTTCAACCAGAAAGGGCCCTATTTCTGCCCTTCCTCCATTTTCATGTGAAACGCTATTCATAGTGTTCAAAACTCCATTTTCATGCGAAACACAGCCATAGCCTCCGCCCTCGGTTCTGGTCATTGCCGTTCTCGAGCCTTCATTCTTGGCTGAATTCGAGTCCATTCTCAGCCGTATTCCTCCGTTGTCGGTCACAGTCAAGCCTTCGTTCACTTGCTGTAAGCATATTATTTGCCTCTTCTTTAAATTCTTCATGCTTACACAATGATTAGAAAAAGCATATATAAGATTGGTTTTATCAAAGAAAGTAAAACACAATTTTTTTGCCATTTCCATTTTTATTCCTTATCAACCAATTCCTTCAAACTAAATAGAGCCATTGGGAAGGAATTGAAAAAAGCATCTAACATGTTGATTATCCGATATATGAATAGCTTTGACCATCTCAATAATAAACAATTTAATATGCCTTTTATTGTATAGGTGAAAAGATGTTTTAAGATGAGTTGTATGCATATGTTATGCCGGCTAAATCGGTCCAATCTCGACCGGTTCAGGTGTACTGCCACCGGCCTAGGGGGAGGGCGGAATTAAGGGAGAGGGGAGTGGTTGGCCTAGTGCGCCCAAGTAATTAATGTAATGAGTGTTTTGGAGGGAAATTTGAATTAGGGGGGCTGTGTGCCGAAGCAATTAATGTAATGTGTTTAGGAGGGAAATTTTAATTAGGGGGCTATTTAGGGATTTTGTATGTCTCCTTTTGCTTTAATTAAGTGCTAGGGATAGAATGAGGGTTTCATCTTGAATTTGAAAAGTAATTTGAGATCTAGGGTTTGTGTTCTTGGGCTCTAAGCTTGGCTAGAGATTTGTAGAGCTGTTTCTTCCTCTCGAATTGAAGAAACTTGTACCGTTGCTGTTTTCTTTCATTTATTAGTGGATTTCCCCATTGTCACTCTCAGTTTTTCTCAGTTTTCCTAAGAAAATCTGCTGTCAAATTCTGTTTGGCTGCTGTAAACAGCAATTATTTTCACTGTTTTCCACCCAATCTTGCTAGGTTTACTTGCGAACTCAAGTATTACCCTTGGGGTTACTTGCAAACTCAAGTACTTCTTGTTAAATTGGTATTAGAGCATTATCTTGGGACCATCGGTGGCTGAAATTCAAAAATTTCAGCAAGGAATTTTCATCCGCAAGAAGATTTTCTTGTAAATCGTGGGAAGGAAAATGGCCGGAAGGAAAATTGAAGTATTGGAGGGAGAAATAGGTCAACTAAAGAACGATTTTGAGGAAAAAAATCGCTGATTTTCATAATCATTTTGCTTCCATCCATGAAAAGATGGATCGGAGGTTCGCTGCCATGAAGTCATGATGAAGAAAATGCTTGAAGGCAAACAAAATCCGGCGACATCGGAAGCAAGGGAGACCACCGGCGACAATGGGAGATGCGGAAATTTGAACCCATTTAGAGAGAAGGGGAATCTAGAACTGGAGATCCTTGAGAGAAATGATGGAATGCCTCATCTAGAACCACTTTTTAGGAAGGAGATGAGTATGGGATATAAAAGGAGGGGTGCTGATTTTGTCGGGAGAATGGATGAATTTTACCGCCGGGGTGCTGAATATAAAAGGATAAGAGGGGAATATGAGGAAGGGCTCGGGTATGATCGCCGGAGGGAAGATCGTGACCACTAGGGAGCACCTCTTCTCCGAGGAATGGGAGGTTATGGAGGGGTTAGGGGAAACGGGGGTGACCCGAGGGTGAGGAAACTAAAGATGCTCATCTTTGAGGTCGAGGATGCACATGGTTGTATCTACAAGGTGGAGCGGTACTTTGCAGTCAATGGGTTAACTGAGGAGGAGAAACTGACAGCGACAGTACTGTGTTTGGAAGGGAGGG